TCATTTCTTGCTATTAAGTTCCCAATACCAATTGGCCTAAAAGAGAAACTATCTGGTTCAGATTATTGTGAAATAACATCTACAGATGCAGACTCTGCTTTGGGATGCGGTACTTGGGAGTGAGAAGGACTTGGGGGTGTTGGTTGATGAGAAAATGAACATGAGCCAGCTTCAGTGTGTGCTCGCAGTCCAGAAAGCCAACCATATCCTGGGCTGCATCAAAAGGAGAGTGACCAGCAGGTCGAAGGAGGTGATCCTGCCCCTCTACTCTGCTCTTGTGAGACCTCACCTGGAGTATTGTGTGCAGTTCTGGTGTCCTCAACATAAAAGGGACATGGAACTGTTGGAACAAGTCCAGAGAAGGGCCACGAGGATGATCAGGGGACTGGAGCACCTCCCGTATGAAGACAGGCTGAGAAAGTCGGGGCTGTTCAGCCTGGAGAAGAGAAGGCTGCGTGGAGACCTCATAGCAGCCTTCCAGTATCTGAAGGGGGCCTATAGGGATGCTGTAGAGGGACTCTTAATTAGGGACTGTAGTGATAGGACAAGGGGTAATGGGTTAAACAGGGGAAGTTTAGCTTGGATATAAGGAGGAAATTCTTTCCTGTTAGGGTGGTGAGGCACTGGAATAGGTTGCTCAGGGACGTTGTGAATGCTCCATCTCTTGGCAGTGTTCAAGGCCAGGTTGCACAGAGCCTTGGGTGATATGGTTTAGTGTGAGGTGTCCCTGCCCATGGCAGGGGGGTTGGAACTTGATGATCTTGAGGTCCTTTCCAAACCTAACTGTTCTATGATTCTATGATTCTACTTTCTCCAGTATGTCACCTTCAACTGAACAGTCCCAGCTTCAGACAGTCAGCTGGTATAGGAACAAAACCTCCACTACCAAAACTATGCAGTTTACTCAGCAATATATTCAAATTCCTATGACGCTAATGAAATGAAAATTGCGGAGGAGGGAAAACAAGAGATGAGATAGGAGAAATGGAGATTCCTGAAATTACTTAAAAAAAATAAAATAAAAGGAGGAAGAGGAGCTTATTTCACAGTCCTACCTGACTCTGCCTCTCCTGGCTTTCTCTCCTGTCCCCTCTTTATTTCCTGCTGAACAACTTGCAGGATAGTTTTCAGGGTTTTGCTCGAACTATCTCAGTCAGAAGCTGCTTCATGTTTCCAGCTGCTCCTTTCAGAGCAAGTTCTCCAAAAATGACTCATTATGTCTCAATTGCAGGTGCGAAATGTCCCCAAACACAAATGGTGGTGACGTTAGGGTTGAATTTCTTAACAATAAAGCCAGTAAAGATCGTTATAGCTCTGTAGTAAAAAAAAAAAAATCTTAGATATGTTTGTAATAATAAAACTAAGCTGCTATTTTTTAATTGGAATAATGATCATTATTTTATAGAATAAACATTTGGAGCTGTTACCTAAAATTCAGTTAATAACATGTCACAATTCTCTGCTGTGCTGTTCCTACCAAAAAAAAAAAAAAGAAAAAATATCAAATAACAAGATGCACTAAACTTTAAGTTATGATATATATGTGACACACCGATTTTCACATCTCTTTTATTAAAATCATTTTACTTCAAGAGTTCAGCCTTCCACTGTCAACCAGTTCATTAGCATGTCCTGTGCCTTAAAAGCTGCTTGCAAAAAAAAAAAAAATCTATACATTTATATATATATATATATGGCTGTTTAAAAACTCTGATTTTAAGAAAACAGTGTGATCTGAACACCAGCTAGAATCCTCTGTTACTTATCAGAAATTAGAGCAGTCATCTATAAATTACTGCCTTGGCTAACACATTCATACTTTTGAGTAATTTTTCACTTCCTCACCTCTCCTTCAGTAACAACCCTGTATTAAATCCCAGCTCAAGAAAGTCAACAGGAGAATTCCCATGGACTTCAACAAAACCAGGTTTTCTCTCTGTTTTTCTTCTTGATTTAGCTGAGTGGCCGTGGAAATCTTTGGCTGACAGATTTATTTAGAAACAGTGAGACACCTGAATTTTAAGTCTTTGCTTCAGCCTTTTATTTGAGTGTGTGCTTTGGGAAAACATTTAGATAATTTTTATATTTCGGTATAAATCCTGAGGTAAAATGTCACTACTAAACCAACATTTACCAATTTTTCATTTAATGGATTTGGGTTGAAGTGTTGAGCTTGACAGGAAAAACTAAAAGCTAAGTTTCTTACTGAGCCCTGATGACATAGGTACATCTGGGCAATGGAAAGCACTAGATCACCTCTCCAAGTCCCTGACAGCCCTATGATACTTTGATTTAGCTAGTTTGCTTTTAACTTCAATCAGACAGATTGGTGGCTAAGAAAGATCAGAAAATAAAAAGAACATGCCACAGGAAAAAGATGTGATACACTTGTTTAAATCCATTGGCTACAAGAAGCAAATAACCAGACCTGTTTAGGCTCACCACTAACAGGTTTTCAGTTCCTAAATAAGATACTGAGTGCAGTCTTAAGATGCTCTCTTTGATGTAAATCTCATGCTGAGGTTCTTTCTCCATATAATGATGAGGAAGCACATAAGAGCTACTAACAAAAGGGCAAATGTAGTTGTGACCTGAGAATGGGTTTTCAACCTGCCAGAATTGCTTGGGATTAGTAAAACAGTCATCTTCATCGCTTGCAGTCTGGTTGACCTTCTTTCAAGTGCTTTCTGAAGAATTCAAATAACAAATCAATTTAAAAAGAGAAAAGGCTTTGTGCAGTAACAGAAAACAGATCTTTTCTACCTTTCTATAAGTCTTTAAAGTTCTTGGGCATAGAAAGAATCTCAAAAAGCTACTTAAAGCTTGTGATTTACATGTGCTGTGGCTCTAATTGGTTCTTTTAATTTTAAGGCTTGCCCCAACTCCTGCAGCAGCGAATAGGAATCATTGCAGTAACTTCAGGGCCTGACACATCTGTCCCTCAAGCTGCTCTTCAGGGACACCCCCTCTTGTTTCTTTGACTTCTTGTTTATTAATTTAAAAATACACAAAAGGTAATACACATATATGTAAAAAAAAAAAAAGAAACAAAAAAAGAAAGAAGAAAGAAATCTTTCTAAAAAATGAAGCAACCAACCTTGTCTGCTTGGTTTAATTTAAAACAGTAATTTAAGAACTGTTTATTGCCCTCTGGATGGGTATAATGTCAATCCAAGGAAAGAATATGGAGTTTTTACAAAGGATGAAAACAACCAACAGCAGAGGCAGAGGACAAGGTAAAACTTAGTAGCTCATGATGGTAAAGGGCCTAGTTGGGTTCCAATACAAAGCTTTAAATAGTGGCTCTAGTATTTGTAACAGTATTTATATCTTAGAAACCACTGAATGTAGGTGACATATTTGAAAATCTTTGCTCAAGGAGCCACCAACTTTCCGAAATAGTGGCTATAGAATGTCCATCAAGACTGCATAGTCAGCTATAGCACCTTGCAGACCTGTTACACCTTTTTGGGGGATGTGAGGGAGACAACAGAGACCACTTTCTTGCCTTTTGCAATATGGCATTTAATTCTTCTGAGTATTCTGCTATCTGCCTCAAACAGACAGCCAAGAAAGACTTTGATTTTTCTTATGAGCAGAAAAATTATTCTATCTTAACAGGGCCATATGGATTTCCCCCCTGCATGACTTGCTCCCAGAGCTAGAAGAAGATGTAAACCTAGTCCACGACTAGTTATGAAGATGGGCAGAGGAGATTGAGTCAAGGTAATACTTTGGTCATTTCTAGGGGAGAATTCAGCCCCATTCAGTGGTAGCCACATGTCTCTGAAAGCAAAATAAAAGTGAAGAAACAAAAAGCAAAGGAAGAGAAACTGGGATTTCTTTTGGAAATGCTAAATTAGAGATGCTGCTTTGTTTCTCAGTTTATTGCTGCTCTCCCTTTCCCTCTTCATTCAACCTAATGATCAGCTTGACCAAAGAAAACTGCTTATATACCCCAAAATAAAGAGGTAAAAGCAGGAAATCATGTAGTGAGAAAGAGATTGACACTTCCCTTCTGTTACCCTGGGAATCCACAGGTCAGAACCAGTGTATCTAGCACAGAACACTGATCTATAAAAAAAAAATTGTGTGATAAAACCCTTTGTAACCCTTCATTAGTTAAATTTGGTTTGATCTCTGTGGCATCACCCCACAAAGGTGAGTGTGGATGGCACAAGAGTAGGAGGATGTGGGGAAGAAGCTGGCTCCCATCACCAGCATTGACGTAGCCCCTGTGAGATACAGCCCTGAGGGTACTCTGCCTGTGATAACCAAAGAAGAGTACAAATGAGAATTTGGGGAAGGAGACAGCGTTTGTAGAGATATTACGTATGTCAGCATAGTTTAAATCTCTTTCAAATCTAAATTCCCCATTTTCACATCTTCAAGGATATCCCAAAACCTTTTTTGTTTTCTCCCACTCTTATTAAATAAATATCTCAATGGTACCTTCCGACAAAGAGTTTTACTTAAAAATTCTGTTGTAATGTGAAACATTGTCCGGTATAATTCGAAGAACTTGTGTGCTTTTCAATCTACCCAGAGCAGCTGTATACATTGCTCTCTGAAAGCTGAGATCTTATTCACTAATATTATTTTATATTTAGGGCTGTATAAGGCAAGTTTTTAACCTGTGGGTTTAATGGTTTCATTAGGTCAGTACTTCTTTTTGCTGCCTTTTTGGAGAAACAAACTTTTACAAGGTCTCTAGTTCGTATATTCATCTGCCAAAGCAGCCCGCTACTTTTCTTGCCATCCAAACAGAACCAAATTTACACATACTTCAGACTTCACTCACGACTGCTTTGTTCAATAAGAACAGGTGGGGGGAAATAGTCCTGTTGCTGTGTTCCCGAGGGAATCCCGCTAAATTAAAGCACATTTTAATCTCTTGAGCCGGCAGCTTTATTAGTAAGCGTTTCCCAATCTTCAGGGAAATCTAATTTCACAAATAGATCAGAGCCACTTCAAACGCAGCTTTCAGTTGCCATCCACCGGGGGACAAACGGGGAGGAGGAAGTTTGTCAGAAAAGACCATCTCTGAGCCCAAGAGTGATTACCAGAGGTGTCTCCATCGACAGCCACCCACCTCAGGTCGATAGTACTCAAATGAGTACGCCGGTGCGGACTATATAAGAGAAGCACATGGCCCTGGAGGGCGCATCCCCCCTCTCCGGGCGCAGCACCGACCGCCCCGCTCCGCTTCGCGCCCGGCGGAGCCTCCGCGGGGACACGGGCTCTCCGGAGGCGGCAAAGGACATCTCTTTTCCGCCTGCTCGCCTGCCCTCAGCGAGGCTTGCCTCCGCTAGAAGGTAAGCAGCCGGCTCTTAGAGTGGCCTTCAGCATGCAGCGAATACCCGGGCTGTTCCCCGGCTACTGCCCGGGTTTGCCGTGTGCCGCAACGCAGTGCCGGTAGGAGGGAGGGATGGAGAGCCTGGAGCCGTCGGGGAGAGCCGGCTCCCTCTTGGCTCCGATTAACTCTTTCGCCCAAGAGGATTTGCAAGGGAGGCCAAGTATAAAACAGTTTGTAAATAACAGAAATTTTCCTCCCTCCCCTTAATCCCAACCGTTTGCTATAATTAGAATAGCTTACTTAGGGGCATTAAGCACCGCTCTCGAAGCCTCAGCTTGTTGTAGTTGTTTTTGCCCTTTACATCCTGATTTGCATCAGTTCCCGATGGAAGTCGCCCCTGACTGAACTCTGTCCTGATGCCCTTCCCTACGCTCTCGCCCGAGAGCCGCTGCGGGGCGGGCGGATGGCGGGACGGCCCGCGGGGGTCTGCCGGCGAAGGAAGGAGGCAACGGGAGGCGCGGGAACACCAGGGGCAAAGGGAGCCGAGCAAATCCCCCGCAAAGCCCTGGACCGCAAATGTGTGTGGAGGGCTTAATACCCTTCCCCTCATCCGTGTCTATACATGCGCCCTCCGGGGAGCCGGCCGAGCGCGGCGGGGCTGCTCGGGGGCTGACGGGGAGGCGCAGCGGGGCCAGTCGGTGGCGGCCCGTCGGGTCTCCACTGGGCTGCGCCCGTGTCGGGCGTGCGGGTGCGCACCGCCTCCGCAGGGGTGCCCTGGGGCGCGGCATGGGGGGCGGGCGGGCGCGCTGCGGGCCGGGCCCGGCGCTGACCGCCTTCGCTCTCTGCCTCCTCCCAGCGCCGCAGAGATGCGAGGGGCGAAGAAGCGCCAGGCGCTGCCCGCCATCCTGCTCCTGCTGCTGACCTCGGCCCCGCCGCCACCCGGCGCCGAGGCCAGGGACGTGCCCTCCGCCGAAGCCGAGCGGGGGGCGCTGCTCGATTTCCTTCTCCAAGCCCTGGGCGACGGCGAACGCCCGCTGCTGCCCCGCCCGCCGCGGCGGGACCGGGTGATCTCCCGGCGGTACATCGGCGGCGCCCCGTCGCCGGACCCCCGCTCTGTTGCCGTCGCCGCCGCCGCCCCCCGGCCGCCGCCGGCCGTCGCCCCGCCGCCTCCACGGCTCTTCGCCACCGCCCGACACGGAGGTAAGAGCCACCGCGCTGCCCTGCTGGGGTTGCAGCCCCCCCCCGCACCGCGTCCCGTCCCTGCTGCTTCCTTCAGCGGCTAAGCCCGATGGCTCCTCCGCCGGGGCAGCCCGCTGCAGGCGGGAGCGGGCGAGCGGAAAGCGGGACTAGGAGTACGCTCTCTGTCCCTGAGGCGGCAGCCTCCCGGGGGGGGGTTGGCCTTTGCCGGTGTTGAGTCCCGCCGAGGGCAGAGCAACTCAGCCCCACTCCCCGGCAGGAGTTCAGCTGTGGGGGTATCCGAAGCATGAGCGAGGAAAGGGTCACTCGGGCTTCTGCTGGGAGGTCAGTTGCGGCCACAGTAGGTCTACGCTCTGAGCAAGCCTCCCAACTTCCCGAGGTTCTGACAGCCAGCCCTGAGGAACCCCAGTTTCTCCCCAGACTCGGGACTGCTCTGATTTGCACAGAGGAAAAATGACAAATCTGAGAGACTGATGTCTGGACTTACGCCTTTAAACTTCTTCTTCAACTTGACTGGTTCCCATGTGATGCATTTTTCTAGTTTTGCTGGGGCAGTTGTGGGAGATCTGGGCTGTGCTGGGGCACGGGGACTTGTTTCACCTTCCAGAGGATGCTCAGGCTGGTGAAAGAAGCCATCTCCAGGTCTGGCAAAGGCCAGGCCTGGCTGTGACAAGCAGGGGCAATTTAGGGCCAAGCACAGCTGGCTGGTGATACTCACACACTGTGCTTCGCCAGGAGACCGGGCAGTGGGTCACCTCTGCCACAGCTAGGTTTGGTGCAGAGCCAGACAAAACGTTTCCTACTGGAGTGGAGCTGCCTGAGCAGTTTGTGTGGGTTAGGATGGTGCAGTTCAGCAAGAAGGAAATTATAGTGACTGTCTTTTGGCTGTAGACCACTAACATTTTTCTCTGGCTGCCTGCTAGAGACTCTACTGGAAAGAAACCAAGATGAGGGGAACTAGGGAAGTTTGGCTTCTTAGGGATTTGTATCCCTGGAGAATGCCCTTGTGGCTGATGGCTGGTAATAGGTGGGGTCACCCCCCCCCCCCCCCCAAGTAACACTGATAGACTTGCTATTGCCTGTCCAGTGGTCTATTTCAAAGGAAATTAAACCCCATTTTGGAAAGAACTAAAAGTTGGGTGATAAGTTCAGAAATTAGTAGGTGAGTAACTGGAAAGGCAGGCACTTGGCAGTGAGATCACTGCATGGTTTAGGGAAACTGAACTAAAAAAAGACAAATAATGTAAAAAGTAGTTAATGTTTTGGCCTTGGAATCTTCTGCTGAGTACAATCTGCCCCTGGTACTGAGCAGTCCATCAGTAAGGGGTTGTAGTGTCCCAGTGAACTTCCAGATATTGTCACTTCTACAGATTATTAAGACTCAGCTGGTTAATGGAAAACTAGATTGACACAGATTTATTTACTGCCTGGAAAAGATGCTGCCGGTTATCGACATGACAGGTCCTGAGTGATTGCTTACTGCAGCTCGAATTCTTTATGTTCTGTGAACAAACCTTTAGTGTACCTTGCTCCGGGGAAAAAATATAAAAAGTTATTTTCAAGGCAGAATATGAGAAGCCTTGCCTGTGTCTTCAAGAGAATGAAAAAGGGTAAGCCTGAGAGCAACAGTTACTAGTGTCAGTTGTTTTGAGGAAAAAGTCTATTATGAGCAACATTTGGAATGTTTACCCCTAACTAAATAATTGCATTGAGCTATAAAATAGAAAGTGTAAATATGTATAGTAACATAAAATCATATCATGGTTTGGGTTGGAAGGGACCTTAAAGATCATCCAGTTCCAGCCCCCCTGCCATGGGCAGGGACGCCTCCCACTAGACCAGGTGGAATATTATTTCATAATATCTATATAACTTTAAATGGGATTTTTTAAAATTCATTAATATTAGACATAATAAAGCTTTGCTTTGTGTTGTGTTAATTTTTGTAACTATATTGTATAAAAAAGGAGTGGGACTGCTGAACATCCTTGGAGAAGTTATCTAGTTGTCCCTGGAGCAGGTGCAGTTCCTATGGGCAGTCACAAAGGTAGCTCTCTCTCCAGCCTAGAAAGGCAGATTTAGAGCTTAAATAACAGTCATATTTTAGTATTCATTAAATTTTTATAACAAACAGTACTTGTTGTGATGGTGTATATTTGCTTTTTGGGGTAGAGAACTTTGTTGAGGCTTTTCTTACAAGTCATCAACTGTTATAACTCCTGTCACCGACACATTACCAGCAACATTTTACTCCAGCTGGCCGAACCTGGCTGTCAGCTGAAGAGAATGGATCACCTTCCCCTCAGTCAGGAAAGGTATTACATTTAGCTGAATACTCAGCCAAGCATTTTAAACCAGAATTATATGTTTGGATTATCTGTTATTGCTAAGAATCAAATCCAAGTGTTGGATTTAAAAGAAAATTGAGCAACTTTAATATGTTTTTTTTTGTTTGTTCAAAACAAAAAGCATGCAGAACAGTGCTAAATACAGAACAGAGTATGCAAGAAGAATAATTTCTGTGTGTTTTCTCTTTTTATTTTTCTGAAGGTGCTACTTATATTATCAATGAGCCAAATGGCAGGAGGGCTGAAATCCTTCTGTTTCCTTCACTCTCAGGGCTGGTTCCAGCTTTAGTCTAATCATATGATGAACTTACCCAACTCACTGAGCTGCACCTCCTCACACCCCTTTCTTTTATTTTATTTCTTCTGGGGCCTTGGTTAGCTATTTGCATAGTGAGAAGAGCTGGCCTGGAGTGCCACTGGGTGAACTTTAGGAGCAGCACAAGGCAAGTGGCTGGAGCGCATGACCAGGGGCAAGGTTTGAGAGTGGATGGGTCCTTCTCCTTTATTGCAGTAGGGTCCTGCTCATTTAGCTGAGGCCATAACAGCAGAGTACAGCATCACAGGGTGTCTTCAGTGAGGCTAGAAAAAGAAGGGTGAGACAGTAGCTGTCAGCCATCTTACATGTACCACTCATTTACAGATACATAAACAAGATGTAAAAGCAAGAGTGGTTGGTCTGTGATGCCCAATCCGGATGTGTCTTGCAGGTGATTCAGGTGATTTGAGGGCAGGTCTTGGGCTAGATCTGTGTTGGGGGAATAACAGCTGTTCTCTGCTTCATGTGGGTTTATTGTGGAGCAAAGGGGCATGACAGCCCTGCCATGCTGGGGCAGTGAGCTGCTGTGTCCTGCTTGGAAATGACTCTTTAGGTGTTCCCCCCCCCCCCTTAATAATCAGGAATGTATTCCATGTTGTGTCCTTGGTCACATGAAGATTGCATTGTGTATCTTGTAGGGCCCAGGAGGACACACACATATGCACTAAAGGCGCTAGTTTCACCATCACTACCTACTTCTTATGCCTTTTATCCCTACATGTTCAAAAGTCTTATCTCACACAGATCTGTCCCTGTTTTTCCTGGTGACCTGATTAATGAGACTGAGCACTTACTCTGAAGAGTATATTCAGAAGAAATAATGTATTCTAACTAACAAAAAGCAATCTTCATCTTTTGCTATGATTTCTGTTAGGATGTCACTAAAAATAAAAGTTGTTCCTTTGAATTATTATATCCAGTGGGATTAAATTTTCTGTCATAACATCCTTTACTTGCCTGATTTCCATGAAGTTTCTGTGCTTGAGTGTGGGGTTTTTTGCACTAAGAAATGTCTCATTTTAAGCTTAGTGATGAAAGCTCCTCAATGGGCAATCTTTTTCATAATTATACCCTGCTTCTGATATGTTAACTGTGGTCAGGTTTTTTTATGAAGAACCCAAATACGTGTTTTCACGAAGCGAGGATTGAGCATCAGGTTATTTTTGAACGTCACATAGGGGGAACTAGAATAGTTTGTCATTCTTCTCAGATTTTCTTTGTTACGTTTATCCAAACCACGGAACTGAAATAGCTTCCATATAATTAGATTTAAAGAAGTCTTGGGAAATAAAAAAGTCTGCATTAACTGTTCTTTCCTTACATATTCCTCACAACACTGGCGAAATGAGCTATCTAAACTTGCAAGGGGTAGGGGGCTGAAATTTGTCCTTGTGTTGGGAGACCAGCAAGACATTTTAAAACATTTTGGTTAGCTATTTTTCAAGCATGAAGGAATGAAGATAAATACTCCTCTCAATTTACCACTATGTTCAAATTGGCCTCCTGAGCTTATCTACTGCAGATTTAGAATAACATGTCAGAGAAGAGAATTTGGCCCTCAAACTATTTAAACTTCGAGGTTAAGCTTAAGAGTGCAATTTTATGCCAAAATTTCTTAGACATCAACAGAAGAAAACTGTAAGTTGTCCCATGACATGGTGCTAATTTAACCGTTATTCATAATAAGCTGGATTTGAAAGATAGATAGGTTTGTGGTTTATTTTAGTTTATGGTTGAATCAAAACCATGTAACCTTATGAAAGGCATAAGAAAAGTTTTATTCTTTTCACTCACTTAAAAAAATCTGCTGTAAGTATAGTGTTAGTTACAGCTGGAAGTCCCTAATTCTCTAAGACCCGCTGTGCCTAATGCTAAACTACTTCAGTGAATGTAATTACAGATCTGGAATAAAAAAAAAGGAGACTATTGAGGACTGTAGACCTTGTCTCGAGGAAATTAAAACGTATGGCAAGGCATATCACATAGTTCTTAGTAATACTTATGTCTTTTATGCCTTGTCCAATTTCCCATTATTATCCCTATTAATAAAACAGCTTTTGGGGTTGTTTTTTCTTTGTTTGTTTTGTATGTGTGGGGTTTTTGTTTTGTTTTGTTTTGTTGTTTTTTTTTGTGGCCTTTTTTTTTTTTTCCTTTCATATATTTTGTTAATAGGAATTGTTGGCGATTCAGGAGACTTAAAAGAAGATGAGAGTTAATAAAAATGTCGTTCTTCAAAATGACATGTTTACCAAACCAGAAATTGCCTCAGAAATTAACAAAATAGTGTATGAAATTGATTTAAAAGAAGTATAACTGCTGCATTAAAATAAAAATAATTG